CGGCTCATCTTAGTTCGGCACTCGACCGATAAGCATAATAACACGTTTACGGAAATTTTACAATATTCTGCGAATATTCACGAATAATCGGCGATATGTGACGCACACGCTCGCACAGATGATCTGTCTCCATGATCTCTCTCTCTCTCTCTCTCTCTCTCTCTCTCTCTCTCTCTCTCTCTCTCTTTCCCCTCCCCCTCGCCCCCTCCTCTTTCTTTCGATGAAAGACTTCGTCGCTTTCATCTTACAATGCGAGCAATTTTATATAATCTTCTAGTAGCACTGAATGCTAACATTGCCTAATTATGGGCACATTTTTCCTTAAATATCAGATCAAACTATCAGATCAAAGATATTACAATTAATGTTTTCAAGATAATTTCTAAAGAAGTGAAATATACGTGATGGGAATGAAAAAAAATTCGAGATATTAAATTTTATATTAAAAATCTATATATTTGTTTGTGCATTAATATAAATCTTCCATATAAATATAGTATGTAATATAATAAAAATTTATATTATTATAAATTCGGAAGGCTAATGTAAAGTACTTTTTATATAATAATTGTTAATAAATTTTTAGACAACACTTATATCTCTAAAAAATATCTTAAAGACTTTATCGTGAATAGCGTGATACATATATAAATATATAATACATATTTGCTCAATGTTCTAGTTAACAAGGACATTTAATTGCTCTACATTCCCTTTGCATAATCACTCAGTAAATCTGTTTAGGATATCTAAGACTGTCTCTTTTTGCTAGTCTAAGGACATTGGTAACATTCAATCGTTTCCGAAGGTCCAAGAGGCTACGAAGCGTGGGGAAAACAAGCAAAACTGGTCTCGCGTGCGTTGTATTAAACTACGCAGGATCCTTCGATCCAATCGGCTTGACTCGCAGTAATAATTCTCTGTTCTGAATGATCTTTGCGAATGCTTCGTTCATCGCAAGGATTAAAGTTCTTGCTACCGATGTAAATTGCTAACAGTTAAACTTCACGAAGAAAGAAATGAAGATTGTACGTAGAATCTCTCTTGCCTCTCAGGTTGAATGTATAATTTAAAATACTAAGATAAAATATGAAAGTACGACGTGTAATAGCGGATTATACACTTTGAAAACTGACATAGGAAAAGGTGGACATCTTCCTGTCGTGCTGCCCTCCTGTCGTGATTCCTATGGTCATTTTGCCGTAATCCCTTTGTCCATTAATGTTAATACACAGGTTACTTTGGATAATGCATTCAAGTAATTTAGTTGCATTGAATACGTTTCCGCAAAAGATTTTTTTATTAGAAGAGATTTTAAATAGAATTTTATTTTCATAAATGAGCTACTTCAATTTCTTATTCGATATGTAGGTATATGTTCGATGTAGTTTCCGTTCTTGTACACAATACTGAAATGAATTGTGTTCTACAGTTTCATAGTAAGTACACGTTACGTCATAGAGTAATTTGATTTTGACCGAATCGCGGGTGTGCATAGATAATGCTGAAAAGTTACGCAAGATTCCGTCGCGATTGCGATCAAGGTGAAAGTCTTCGAGCTCGATAGAGCGAGACTTAGTGGAATCAGCAGGCGAGTCCCGTAAATTATAGGCAATGTCGTTGGAAAATGTCCTTTATCGATGAGCATCAAGGAATCTTTTCTCGAAGATAATCGCGTGCTTCTCGGTGGACTCGCACATTTTTCATTGTTTTTCATGGCACGGTCCAGCAGCGATACGGATTCGTTTCTAGTGATTTTCTCACCGCAGTGTGTAGATGTTTACCCGCGAATCTCCAAGACTTTTAATGTACAATTATCTCGCGTTTATATCTGCGAGCGCAAATCGAGTCGCCTCTCATATGCATGCCTTCTAGGCAGAATAAATCTAGTGCGTCACGCTGAATTTCACGGCAAGCTGAAATTTTTATCCTAATCGGAAAATCCGATTTTTCATATGTAAAGGATATTTTTACAAAGCGTGGCTATCTCTAACAAGTTCTATTTTAAGATACCTTCACTTAAAATGCATTTTAAAAAATTATTAAGAATTTATAAAGATTTATATAAATAACTATAACTATAAAAACTATACTTAAATTTCAAGTCCTGTTTGAATTATAAAATGCAAGAATTTCCGTTTTACAACGATAAAGAGAAATTCAAAATTTTTTACTAATTTAGAACCTTATAACAATCTTACAGATTGTACAACCATTTAAAATTTTCAATTCGAGTTCAAAGTATTGTTATAGTCAAAAATTAATCTAATAAGAAACGATGTATAATTCGCGCTAAATTACAAAAATTTTATTTTTAAAAAATGAGTAAGAGGTACATTTTATTATGTTAAATCGCATGACACTACTTCTAAATCGCTTTGTCACTTCTTATATTTAATTATAAGTCTTCTCCTGAGAAACCAAAAATACCGAACGCCACTTCTGCGTCATTCTGACTGCACTTTTTTCACGAACGTAAGACGCTTAAAATGCGCAAGATTCGTTCAATACTTCTGTAGCAAAAACTTACGCGTAGTATTATGAAATGAAAACGATATAGTAACAGTGACAAAATGTATAGTTAACATTGTTCGAATGAAAAAGAAATTAGTTCAACGAGAATTTAATTCATCATTTTTGAGATAATTAAACGTTGGGAATATTTTACTATATGATGAGAGGAAGTTGATAGCGATATTGTGAATTCCGCGTAATTGTTGTCACATTAAAAATATCAATATTAACGTTGAAATTTATTTTCAACACGTTTCTTAGCAAAAATTTGTTTTTTAAAATTTTTTTTACAATATATAGAATACTTGTAAAATTATAAAAAACAAAAATTTTCTGTTGTACAATTTCCATCAATGTTATTTTTTTCCCAATAAATACATAAGGTAAAAAAATAAAATAAACTACAGAATAAAAAAATTCTGCAGCAGTCAAGTTAATATTTATTGCTCGTTCAATAACAGTATGACGCAAGGCATCTTCTGAAGCGAATTTTTATTAAGAGGAAGTTTCACGCTTGGACTATTCGAGAGTGAATTTTCGTGGTTATACGGTTTCTCAGGTTGAAAAATGTTAATATGCTACTGTCTCTGTGGATTATGTCAGAAGAAGATCCTGCACAGAATCGACCCGGGTGAGTGTCGAGCTCCTTCCTCGGAAGGACTCCTCACATTGGCTCCGGGGTGAATCAGTCCTTTGTGCCGGGCACTCTCAGGGTCAACCACTTTCGGTGCAGTATATACCTCCAACGGTTTGTATGTACACTCGCAAACACACTCGCTCGTCCCGAGCATGCCTATAGGGTATTCTGAAAGTCGCCGCGTAGCCAACAGTCAAGTACCACTGAGCTAGCTAGGTATTTTCAAACTGATTCACTGCCTCTTTCGACTTGCCACATCCTCTCGAAAGCATGAGATAAGATTTAATCCGTGCGACTAGAAATCAGACTTTTTGCGGAACTTTGAACACATACATGGAATTTTTGGAATATTTATTGCTATATTTATTGCTATGGAAACGCAAAAGAGTAAATCCAATATTACTCTACAAAAAAACATATCTAATGAATCATACAATAGAACCAAGTGACGTTTAATCTATTTTCAATCCGATTAAAAAACCGATTAATTAAAAAACATGAAGTTCGCATTCTTATGTAGAACAAAAAAGATTGCCTTGTTAGACAACCTTGCTCCTTCTTCTGACTTCAGAATCATTACTCGATGTCTATTTTATGTAAACAGATTAGAGTGACGCGATGTATTATATAACATCGCGATGTACGCATCTAATCGCATCCATAACTATATCGAATAATGCTATGATGGAAAAAGTTCTCGTGCGCATCAATCAGCAAAAAAACCAAGCAGCATTCTGTGCATTAAGAGTTCGTTAAAACATGCATTCAATCGTTTTTTAAACGTTCTTAAACGTTCAAAGAGATTCATTTCGGTTGAAGTGGGTACTTCGAGAGAAACGACGATGTTTTCCATATTGTCGAGTCTGGCGGCAGTTAGAAGGGGTTGAATCTCGCTGTTCCTTTTTCTCTGGTGATCCTGAAGTTTATTGGCTCGACGCCGTTCAAAGTCGAAAAAATAAATCAAATAGACTGCTGTACGAGGGACCGAGAGTGGCGGGAGATTCGCAGGAAACGCACGGAGGAAGAGATGAGGTTGAGAGAAAGAGAGATAAACAGAAAGAGAGAGAGAGAGAGAGAGAGAGAGAGAGACAGAGAGAGAGAGAGAGAGAGAGAGAGAGAAAAGCGCAGCGAACTATGGCGAATTCGTCTTTGCCAGCGGTAGAGGATGTTTCTCACGAAATTTCTCATCACGAGCCTTTAATTCGAATCGCTGTTGATTCATAACGTCTTGCAACGCAAGCGAAACAATCGCGGGCGATGCGATCAGACCGCAAACATCTTCCTTCTCTTTTAGCGATCCTGCGATTAAGTCAGCGTTAAGAGGTAATTGATTTTTGCGTTCAACGAACAGGTTCGATAAATCGTTTCGCGAGGATATCGGTAGAATACACTAGCGAGACGTCTCTCTCACGCTTCTCCCATCTCTCTCTCATGCAGAAATACAAGTCAGCCTCTATCGCTGATGTCATTGGCATAGATCTACTTTCGTCGATGGTTGATGAACTATATTTCACCAACAGTCTAAAAGCTCTAGAATAGCTCTAAATAAAATAGAATTTAAATAGACTTGTTTTTATTATTCGTAATCTGACTGCAACCTTGACGATAAGTGCAGGAAGAGTTGAATAAATTTCGGTGAATAAAAAGAAATTGGCGAATCAAAAGTTAAATTAATTGTTTGTACTGATACAGATTGTAATCGCTAAAATAACTTGTTGATAAATTTATTGCTTTTTAACTTTTTGTGACATCCATTTAATGAAATGAATAATCTAATAATAAGATTGTAACAAAACTATAAAGTTTAACGACGAATTCGTGATATATAAATCTGGCAATTTGATTGCAGAAACGAGACGCATGACAGACGACACCAGGGGCGTTATCAGGTGAGGGTTTAGCAGCTTTCGGCGACGCGATCGAGAGATGTCGGATGCCGCCGGCACGGATAATCCGGCATTCGCCAACGAAGACGAGTGCGTTAGCGGTTCCAAATTGGAGAACAGCGGTCAGCAGCAAGCAGCCTTGAACCAGGATCACAAGTCTTCGACGGACAGTGCGCCGGTAGAAAATGGCCACCAACAATCCTTCATCTCCCAACACTATGTCGAACCCATTAAGCCGAGCTCGGAGCCATGTTATAAAACGGAAACGAGAATTGAGGTGCCGGCCGATAACACAGAGAAGACTATGCCGGAACCGAAACTCAATGGCATCCACGGGAATGGCAATAATAACGACGCGAGTTTCCTTAACAACAGTGCTACGAGCGTACAGATCAATGGTGAGTTCACAAATAATATCACGTATACGATATCCCGCTACTATACATGGACATACTGAGGCTTGAATACGTTATATGAATACCTATGAACTTAAAACATTATGAGTAAGTAACAATTTTGAGTAAGATTAAAATTAGAAGTAATCGCGCTTTTAAAAGACCGAGTTAACTGTACATTTCTAGTCACGTAAATATAATGTATGAATAGAAGGAAAGGTACAAGAAACCGCTATAGAATAGCTTATCATCTTCCATTACCGTCACCCATAGGATACGATTTCAGTAAGAGCGAGACTTTCAATCGTTAATTACCGGCATTGGCATTACTACCGGTTTGTAGAGAAAAAGTCGTTCATAGCCGATAAAATCCCAGGAAGTATCGTATCCGGGACTTTTCATAGTGGATTCGTTGACACATGTCACGATTATTAACATGCCTTTCTCAATCTCGCGTGTTTTAAAGTAACAACAATAATTTCAAGTATTCCTTATCTAAATTAAATTAAATTCTCGTCAATCTCTTCCTCTCATTAATTATTTGTTTATGTACTTCTTATTAACATACAATATCCTTATATTTCGTGCGAATTTGCTTACCTCGTTACGCTATACATGCAGCAGGAAACTCGGCCCTGTTTTCAGTCACATTACTATTTCGTGGAATGCAATTTCTCCGCTATTTCGTGTGTGACCGGAAAATGAAAACCGGTTGCACCATACGCGTGGATATATATCCCGATAGTAAACGGTTTCCCGTTTTCCGTAGACTCCGGAAAGAAGGAGCAAATCGAGGCCGTAAATCTGGAACTGGTCTCGATGAGGCCATACACAGGCAATATTCAGACAAAGGGTCAAGAAGCCTGCGAAGTACCAGCTGATCCTTATGAGGAGTACTTCGTGCCGGTTAACGAGCATCGAAAGTACATCAGGTAACGAGTTATTTGTCAAAGCGAACGTATCTCTGATGCTTACGTATTCTTTATTTTATTTCTGGTTCCGCCTTCTAACTTTTATTTAATCATTTTTTGTGAAAACCAGTCGAATATGCGAAAATTCTTCTGGATTTTAAAAACAGGGAACAGGAAAAAGAGAAAAACGTACGTCCTTATAGGATCTACCAATTATATATATGTACCGGGTATTACAACGTTTTTAAACAAGACTTTCTATTATTGCTGTCAGATTTACAATGGAATACCATTTTTACAAAAGTTGTATTGCGCACGACAAAAAGTTAACTACGTTATGAAAAGCGAGAGTGTTTGCTATATAAATTAAACATACCAACACTATCAGATCCCGGCGCGGGATCGCGCAATATATACGTCTCAATATCCATTTCAGAATAATCATACTGCTAGTACTATGTATGTCATAGAATTATGATGAAAACATCTAGAGAAAGAACATTGTGTAGGATAGAAGTATATTTCCTAGAAAGAAGCGCAAGTATTCCGTTGCCGAGGGAATTGTCAGGCGATAGAGATATCTTAGCACCGTTTTTAGCTCCAGCCAATAGCACATAGAGCTTGTGCAAGCTGCTGATCGAAAAGCCTCACATAGAGTGTTAGACGGTGTTTTCTGTTGTCACGGTACTTAGCAGGGGTCCCGAGGCCGAGGTTGAAACAACCATAGCTGGAGTGCGTTTTGATTTGGGTCCCGGCGTCGGCCGCGAGGGACTCAGCCTGAGAGATCCCGCCGCCGGATTGGTCGACTATTCCCACTGGCTGACAGCCCTCAGGTACTTGACGGATGTTTTCGAGGGAAAAAAAAAACAAAAAAATACAGCTGGGAACTGTCTTAGTGGAATATCTCTTAGGGGCACGCGGTCGCGTACTAACATGCTTATGCTATCCTCCCTCGAGTCGAATCGAATACGAAAATTTCTTCATAAAAATTGCACGTCCAAGAATTTACTTTTACCCTTTATTTCGTCCTATTGATACCGAGACGGCTTCTCCAAATAAGAGAATCGATGATAATATAGATCACAAAGATCGACACAAATGCTACTGCTATAAACATATGTAGGAATCACCATTGATTAACTGATCAGGATTAATTCCTAAATGTAGTACCGTAAACCAATCAAAACGCAAACCAATCTCGCGATATGTTATTATTATTCTCAAAATCTAATCGAAGATACTTAAGCAAGAAATGCGCGCAGCAGGGGCGCACATTGGTATATGAGAGTTTAGGCATTAGACTGGGTGCGACCAAGAAAGCTTCTAATCCATAGACTGGACATTGACGAAGGTTGCTAGGAATCGCATTACATGCGCAACGCTGTATAAAATATGCTTTTTGGGTTTAGGACAAGAAAGACATTACATGCAATAGATTCATATCTCTATGTGACAACGAAATTGTGTTGCAGGGGCGAGAAACTTTACGTTACGAAGGATAAAAGGTCTAAGAATTCATACTGGAGAAGAATGGCCTGGGGTTGCGCGCTGTTGGTTATAGTAATTGCCGTAATCATCGCCATTTTGGCCGCAAGTAAGACGAATCATTATTCTTTTAACTTTACAAGTTTTATTTTTACAAAATATATATTATTCATAATAGTATAAAAAAATATATCATTCATACTATCCATATAGCTATATAAAAAAATATTACACATGTATAAAATAAATTAGACATTTTATAAGACATTTTATTAGACATTTTATACAATAAAATTGCTCCAAAATAAAAATGTTGTGTCTTTATTTTAGCTGGTGTATTTCCAATACCGGCTACGGAACCTTTGGAGAACGTAGAAGAAAATAACACACGCCAATTTAATGAAGTGCAGACGGCCGGAAGTCGAGAATATGTGAAGGATCCGCCATTAAGTCCACCACCTTTAACTTCGACTTTTCCACTGTGGCCTACAACTGACGAAACATTATTCGATATTGTACCAGATGCTCTGGATGGAACTTTGAGACTAGACGATTTTAACTGGAATGACGATTTTAGTGACATCAAATCTCGAGTATACAGACAAGTAAGCTCCGAAATAGAGGAGCATCTAGGAAATATTCTTCGACAAGCGGGCAGCATGTCTGTAATCAAAGTATACGACATCAATAAGGAAGGAGAAATAAGATTCAGAATAAGTCATCCACCTCGAAATGCACCTGAAGAGAGTCAGGAATACATCGAAGATGTATTACGAAAAAATAGTAATATGATCGGAGAATATCACCTGAACAGACTTCATGTAGGAAAGCTTATCGATCAATGTGAATATGGCAATCTCGAATGCACCGGAAACTGTAAATATGATTACCCTTCTGGCATATTTGTATGTACCTGTAAATTAGGAGAAATATTGCACCATGATGGCAAAACTTGTGTGAATGATAGTGATTTGAGTAATGTCGAAATGGATGATGTAATGCCACAATCTACCACGGAACTAATTAATGATTTTCAAGGTAGAAGCAGAGATCCAGGCGCAATAGACTTCGAACCCAGACATCCTAATACTTGGAAAAATACGAACTTCAAAACAGGTTCGGCAGAAACAGACACATCGACGGCGAAGTCTAAAACAAAAGATATTAATCCTGAGCAATCTGACATATCAATAGAACAACAGACCGAATTTACACCAACGACAAAACATTCAGTTTTTAAAAATGATGATTCCCATTGGAATCATGAATATGTACATCATTCGAAGGAAACTATTGAAACAGAGTCTCCCATTAAAACCTCCCAAGAATCTTTTGCTGAACTAAAACCTACTTCTGAATCAAAATCTACAACTGAACCAGAACCCAGTATTGAACCAGAACCTAATGCTGAGCCAGAACCCAGTGCTGAGTCAGAATCCAGTGCTGAGCCAGAATCCAGTGCTAAATCAGAATCCAGTGCTGAGCCAGAATCCAGTGTTAAACCAGAACCCAGTGCTGAGCCAGAACCCAATGCTGAGCCAAAACTCAGTGCTGAGCCAGAGCCTACTGCACCAGAAATTATTGTTCCAGAATTCACCGTTAAACCAGAACCAGAATCTACACCTATATTATCCGCTACTATACTAAATCCTGCTTCTGAACCAGAGCCAACTGCAAAACCAGAAATTGCTCCTGAAGTCGAATCTACTATTGAAGCAGAATCTATTACTGAAAGAGAATCTACTGCAAAAGTGCCTATTACAGAATCAGCAATAACTATCAATGAAACAGACAGTGAGATAAAATCAAAAACGGAATCTCAACATTTAACAATAGAACCGTATTTGGAATCAAAAATTGAAATATCTGATCGACCTGAATTTTCTGTTAAACCGATGTCTCATGATGATATTTCTGAATCATCTACACAGACATCATCTTCGGACGATGTTGGTACAACTAATGTATTCAAATCTCTTATTGAATTAACAGATAAAAGCGATAATTCCAAAAACAATGAAACTCCTATCACAACTGTAAAGCCTAATGAAAATTCAACAGACAATGATACACCCTTACAGATAATACCTTTAATATCTAAAGATATCAATGATAATGTAGATACTAAAACAACAATTATACAATCTTATAGTAAGAATGATGAAATTACTGAAAGTACAATTACCGAGGCTGGTCTTACTACCTTAAATTATAGAGATTTAAAACAAAATGATGATGTAAATGTTATATCAGTCAAACCTGAGAATCATGCGGAATCAGTCACAGAACAATTTACAGAAAATCCTAATCTTCAAGAAGATAAAGAAAATGACTCTACTACAAAAACAAATTTTGATATGAATTTAAGTAATATCCAAAATGGTTCTGCGACTAGTGAACACGATTTAACAAAACAAAAATCAGACATCGATTTAAATGTTTTTGAACAAGTCAGTTTAACTACTGCAACAATTACTGTGCCAGTCACATCAGTAGAAGAAAAAACAGAATCGACTACTAAATTCATCAATAACGATAAGCATTCATCGACAGGACATATCCATACAATAGAAATAAATGGCATAAGTAATAGAAATCCAGAAACAAATAATTATACTAAAGTACACGAGACAACTACGATACCAGAAACTACTCCAATTGACATGTTTACTCAGCCAATACTTGGATATCGGGAAGAATTTGTACCTGAGCCCGCATTGCAACCAAATACACCAGATTCAAGCGAGAAAAATGTCATCGAACATATGCCGACAACGGTCTTCCCTAAAGTACCGGAAAATTTTGCTCACAATGTCGAGCCACTCAGGGAACCTACCGTGAAATCGGCGGATGACGAACATATCATGTTGATACCAAAGTCCGAGCAACCAGTAGAGATACACGCGATAATTCCAGAACTCATTCCAGAACAAGTCACAAATAAATCTCTGAAAGCAGAAAATTCGACAACAAAAGAAAACAAATCTATAGAAGATACAACCTCGATCGATTCATCTAAAATACATACTAATGAGAATATCGTTCCTGCGAGCAATAATAAACATGTGGTACGCCCTGATGAAATTCAAGAACATTTAACGAGTCACCCTCTTCACCCAGCGGTATTTCCAGAAAATTCGGTAGATCATTTCACAGGAAAGTCAGACGATCGACCTGCTGAGGATATGTCACCATTCTTACCGGACGTTCATAAAGAAAAAGAAAGTCTAAAGAAACCACGCCTAGATAAGGACGAGCAAGATGGTCCTAATCCTTTTGAAACTCATATCGATGATGTTATAACACATCGACCATTAACACGTAATAGTGCAGACAGAGTAAATGAAACCAAAGATTTATTAATTGACGTTATTTCTAAGAATAATGAAAAGAAGATAGATATCATAAAAGAAACACAAAACCATGAAATAAATACGACAAATGACATAGGCAACAGCACACATACTAACAATACAGAAGCTAAGATTCTAAACGTATCACATCAAAATAATACACTGAAATTAGTCAATAATGACGGAACAAAAGACGGCATTGCAGATCAGCAAAATGGCGAAGATAAAGAATTGAAAATAATCCCATTGACAGTAGAAGATAAATCAGTAGATTCAATTTCTCAAACTACACTGCAACCTATAGATAAGAAAACGGAACCTGAAGTTGTAATTTCCGCTGGAAAGAAAGTACAAGAAGTTGAAGATATCACGATAGAAAGCGGTATGACAAGTTCAGAGAAACCAGAAGAAAACGCTGTCGAAGATCACTACAACGATATTACGGATGAGGCTTTATCAAAAGGATATCAGCACGATAATACCGGCATTCCAATTAAAGTTATAGAGTCATCCAAAAAAGCAGTTTTAAAGGACACTGATCCTATAAAAGTTTCTTATAATGGTCCTTATTCGTCGTTAACTATGTTCGATGTCATAAAGAAAAAAAACGAAACGAACGAAAAGATATTTTCTGATACGACACAAAGTCCGATGGTTACGAAAACCGATGGAGTTATAAATCAAATGGAAGATGGTAGATTGACTACACAAGAACCTGTGTTGCCTATAGAAATTCAACAGGAAATGTCTACGACAACCGACAAAGTTGAAACCACGACTGTAATCGATAATGGAAAACATGAAGAGAACAATACGGATCCGCCGAATGTTGGTCAATCCGACGAGAAAGAAGCTGTTACAGCACAAATGACAACAACTCAAGCCACGCTGGAAACTAAAACTACAGCTCAGATCCCAATCTTGCCCGAGGAGTTGCAAACGACAGAAAGTGATATATTATCAACAACATTGAGTGAAGAGGTACCGAGTGTAGACAAGAAAATGGAAACTACTGACAAGACAGTTTCAACGGATGATGCTAGCAATGCAACGAAAAAAAACGAAGCAGAGAGTGTTGTTATACCCAGCAATGTAATGGATACATCGGAAAGAAACATGGCAGCGACAACAGTGTACGAGAGTAACGTCAGCTTAGAAACTGACCGGAAAATAGAATATGATAAAAATGGGCAGATAATTGAAAGTGCGACGGAAAGCATAAAAATTGAGACTATTCCTATGATGTCCACGATAGGAAAAGATATTGTAGGTGGCGTAGAAGGAACTTCGTCTATGCCTAACGATGTCACCACCACGGAAGATGTCAGACCGGTCACGGAAATGTTGGACGACACGGAACCTATGATAGATTATAGAATATTGTTCACTACAGTTCCGCCAAGACCGATATTGCTTGATCCGGAACTGTCTGAAGAGGCGCTCAAAGTAATACCGCTGGAAAAGAGTCAGGAAAGCAAGAAAAAACCAATTGATAAGAAGGGATTTGATAAACATAAATACAAAAAAGAAAAAGACCTGAGTCTGGAGGATCAGAATGAAGACAATGTTTTGACGGAAAGGTTCGATCAGACCATACTTTTCCAAACGGAACCATCGACGATTACGACTACAGAGGAACTGCATGACAGTGTGGTAAGCTCGGATATATACCCAAATGTACCCAGATTCACCGTGGCTGATAAGGAAGGCAACATCGTGCCCATATCGAAATGGAAAGATACAGTGGTTAGAACCGAAAATAAAGATTTGGTCACAGAGACAAAGCCCAAAAATTATCCTAGCTTTATACCTGTATCAGAAGAGATAATAGAGTCGGTACCAGTCACGGAGCCCTACATAATCATGCAAAATTATACTCGTCCCATGATCATAACGAATGATGCGGAAAAAACGACTGCAAATGAGACGACAGTCGAAAGTCAAACTAATACAAGAGCAAACGAAACGACTGAACAAAATACTTTTTTTTCGGATCAAGTATTCAGCGACCACGAAGAAGCGAAAATAGATCACATTAAGGAAGAGTCGACTACGCAAACGTTGAAGGTAGAGATCGAGAACACCACAGCTAGCAGTCCTTCGGAATTTCCATTTCCTGGGAGCCTCTTGAAATGCTCCACAGGTCAATTTCAATGTGTTAATGGAACGTCTAGGAACGGTGCGTATTGCATCCCACAGTCCGCCAAATGTGACTCTGAAAATGATTGTTCCGACGGCTCGGATGAGTGGAACTGCACAGCAGAAGATTGTTCGAGTAACTTTCGCTGCGCTAATGGACATTGTCTGAAGAGGCACCTTGTTTGCAATAAGATAGTAGATTGTGATGACGGCAGCGATGAACATAACTGCGAGAACTGGCAGTGCCAGGCTGATGACTTTAGATGCCCAAGCGGTAAGTAATTGAGTACAATTGATATACAATATGCAAGAGTAATAATAGAATAATAATGGAAAATAATAAAGTTTCAAATTCTTGATTGTTTGTTAAGACTTCCAAAAATTTTTTAATTTTGAATAAAATATTAGTAGAATTTTATTACATACCTATACAAAAAGATTTAATAAATCTTGAGCATATTGCTAACGAATAATAAAATTCAATAATCATAATGATTGAGATATCTCAAATAATAATTCTTATCAGAATCACGATAGAATTATGAAATTTTACGATTGTAGGAAGATGCATTCCGGGATTATGGCGATGCGATGGTCGGCCCGATTGCGAGGGACATCAGGACGAGTACAATTGCACGGAAATTTGCGGAAACAATGAATATCTATGCCCAACAGAAAAATGGTGCATCCCACAAGCGTGGCATTGCAACGGAGTTGCCGATTGCATTAATGGGGAAGACGAAAAGTTATGCGACTGTACCTTAGATCAATTCAAGTGTCAAACCGGTGGATGCATCCCTCTGAATCAAGTCTGCGATGGCATCGAGAATTGTCCAGATTATTCAGACGAATGGAGTTGCCTAATTGCCAATATTACTGCAAATCGAAATCTCACTAACGCGGAAACGGATAGCAACACAGCGAACGAAGCAAATCGCGTGCCATTTTTAAAGATAAGGTATTTAAATCATACCAAATAAATATAATACATTTATTATTTGTTTTCTTGATTTCTAAATTATGTTTATTAATTCGAAACACGAACTAATAACGTACTATTTTATTAAAGAAAGAAAAAAAAAATTTAATAAAATGTGAAATGCTTGTGCAAGCCTCCACAGTTATTGGTGCGTAAAAAAGTCAAATCAATAATTAAAACTTAAAATATTATTCAATATATTAAAAACATACAAATGTTTCGATCTTAGATTTAGATCTTCTTCAATGTAACAGTCAAAAAAGTATAGTAATAAAAAGATGAACAGGCTGTAATCTCTTCTCCTGATAGCCTTCCAATGTCGAAAGAGTCAAAATAGATCTAATAGTATTCCATAAAATAAATATTAATATAAAATAAATCCAAATATTTTTGCACTTGAAATAAGATATAGATATATTTGCCCTTTAAAAGAAAAAAAGCGAAGATGCCGAATGGCAAAAGTGCAAACAACGCGAACAGACCTACAATAAAACGAAAATAAAGCAAGAAGAGAGATTACGCTTTCGCGCAAAGTGATGTAAAACCTCACAGTAGCACACAGCACCTTAAACACAGGACGTTAAAAAAGCACTTAAAAAAGTAGCAATGCCTGTAAGCGCTTTTGCAGCTGTGCTATTTGAAGTATAACAAGAAAAAATAATTATAAATAATCATTTTTAAAAAAATCTTAATTATTTCATTAGCTCGAAATGAATTAATATGAGTAATGTATTAATGTATTAATATACGAGTATAAATATAACTTTTTAGGAAAATTATAAAGACGTGCTTATATAAATAAAAAAAAGTTCTTGAAAATATTGGGAAACAATGAAAATAAATATTCTAAAAATTAATAATAAGTATTTCATACTTTGCAATAAAAAAGATATAAAATTTCGATCCAGACAATATAACGGCGACTATCAACTAGTCTGCTCGGACGGGTGGAGCGAAGAATTCAGCGATTCCTATTGTCAAGCTTTGGGATTCGTCGGATCTGACGAGACACTCGAATCGTTCGCGTGGGATAGAAGCCAGAAAATCCTAAGACTAAAGACAAATCCTAATTATCGCCTGCCGCTAGTCATGAACTTAGAGGAAGTGGGATTCTGCGTCTCAGACAAAGTTATGCAAGTGTCGTGTCAGGAATTCACTTGTGGTCTCCATGCGGAAGAATCGACGGCAAGGTTGATAGATCCTCCTGAGCGATGGGCTAGTACGGCCTTGTTGAAGAAATCGGAAGAAGGGACTGTTTGTACAGCCAGTATAATCGGCCCTATGCATGCTCTAACTAGTTATTCCTGCATCTATAGGTAATTTGATACAAAAATGATTGTACGAAGTTATTTATAAAGAGCAGACAAACCATAAAAGATTAAAAATGCGTAACGTTTTCTTAAGAGGATCTTAAGGCCGTTTGTATTACCGATTAAATCATAATTTTTGTATAACAATTACTTTTTTCCTCTTTTATCCTTTCTAAGAAAATCCTTTTCTAGGATTAAAGTATATGCATTAATACATGTCGATGAATCGGAATTTTTGCTGCGGATAAAAAATTTCTTAAGATTTCAATTTCGAAGATTTCAATTTTTTGTCATTCTCGATATAAATTCCATCTCACAGACACGTATTAATGCGTATATTTCAATAAAAGAATTTTCGAATCTGAAAAGAAGAAAAAATTAAGTAATTGTTACACGAAAATTACGATTTAGTCGGTAATACAGACGGCTTTGGAATCCCCTTAATCCTTGTAACAAAAATTTTTATGAAAAGGTACAAAAAAAATTATACAGATTGAGACAAGATATCTTGGAAATTTTTAATTTTTTATAGATATTCGTAGTGAAACATAAATGAGATTTATCTATTCTATCTTAATTAAGTCAGAATCAGACTACGCATTGAAAATTGATTGAAATTTGAATGAAATGAATCAAAATAATAGGAGCTAAAATTCTTTTACCTCACATTTAAATTAAATGTGAGGTGGTTAAATTTCAGTCTTCAATCTTCAATTTTAATCTTTAATGCGTATACAGTCTGATTCCGGTCTTAAGGGAATCTTAAAGCCTGTATTACCAATTAAGTCGTAATCTTTGTATAACAATTGCTTTTTTCTTCTTTTATAGATTCGAAAATTCTTTTATAGATTCGGAAATTCTTTTCCAGGATTAAAGTATACGCATTAATATGTGTGGTATGGAGTACTTCTATGAGTTTATGCTAAAGAGAGAGTGGAGTTTATGCTGAAAACGACAAAAAATTTTTCTTAAAATCCTCGCACACTAATCCTGAAATTGGATCCCGGTGAAATCAAATAATTTTCTCATATGTTATCTGCTAAATGCTAAAACAAAATTATTACAAAATATTAGCGCAAAAAATGAACGGTTTTCGTGTTCGATTCACCTACAGTCACTGACATCATACCATAAAATACTTCCAATAATTTCTAAACGACTGATCTAAAATGGATAAAATTATAGTGTTTTGAAAAGGCCTCAACAAGGACTATAAGAAAATGAAAGAAAAAATGGGGAATCTCACTTAAAAAATTCGAGTTGACTTTGCCCTATTGGCGACGCCACCCTAAGTCAAACTGATGAAACCAGTGACTAGATCTTTTTAAACTCTACAACTTTTATCTGAAATATTTTTTTATAAAACTTATAGTTTTCCAGATATTTTGCCGTTTTTTAAGAAAAATTTTTTGTCGTTTCGATATAAACTTCACACAAACACGTATTAATGCATATACTTTAATCCTAGAAAAAGATTTTCGAATCTGTAAAAAAGAAAAAAAATAATTGTTAGTATTTTATAAATAAAATTATAAGATCCTTGACAGGAAAATTTTTACGAAAAATTGCATAGATTGAGACAAGATCTTGTTAAAAATTCATAATTTTTCATAGATATTCATAATGAGACGTAGAGTGGCGTTGTTTGAAGACGAAGGATTTCTTGGTTTTTCAAATAAATGATGCCATTCTACGTCCCATTATGAATATCTATAAAATTATGAATATCTATAAAAATTTCTAAGATCTTATCTCAATTCATTGTTGCAGTTTTTCGTAAACATTTTTCCACCAGGGATCTTATTGTATAATTTTATTTCGATTTATAAAATAGAATATTTTATTTTTAACATAATATGTAACACATTATTGTTAATACATAATTTTTTACACTTGCTCCAGTAGACACAAGGAAAAGAATGGATGGCAGCTTTTTACCAATGGAAATATGTTAAAAGGAAACACTGTTAAAAATATCATTCCCTATCCTCGAGTGAAATATAATCAATTCCTGTACAATAACGACATCGCTCTAATCAAATTAGGAGAACCATTGGTATTTTCCAGAAATATTAGCGCCATATGTCTTCCCAAACAGCCTATCCAGGTATACTTTCAATTAAATTTTCTGATAAGGCTATGTGTATGCTCATTGTTTAATTAACACATTCCTGATTTCTATATACATGATGATTTTTCAGCCGGAGCAAATTTGCGTAACAGTAGGATGGACATTCCCTAGGAACGGGGAAATGAATTTACAACAATATCTCAAATTCATGCCTCTTCCATTGAATAATTCCGATAAGTGTAACGCCACGAGCCATTATGCAGGATTCATCACAAAGTACGATATATGCATGGATAAAAACCCTTGTTACGTAAGTTTGACAAAAAATGCAATTTTTACATTTCTATAATTATTTTAAAGAAATAATAAAACTTTTAAGAAACTTCTGTATCCGAATATATTTATCTCTTTAAGTAGGTTTTAAGGGCATAAAACACATATATTAATATTTACGCTTTAAACAAATTACATACATGTGAAAGTTGTGTTCATAACATTCTGTTTTTATTGAGCAACGCATTTTCATAGATTATTTATTTTATTTCATATTAGTTTTATTGTTTATAAACAAAATTTTAAAAATAACAAAAATTTAAATCTGTAAATTTTTTTATATAAATATTTTAAATACTAAAAATGACTTATGTAAAATTTCATTGAGATTCATGAATTAGTTTATAACAAATAAATATTTTGTTTATTCACTGTACAATTAATGTCATCTCAATGTAACTTTACATAAATTTTTGAATTCATAAAGTATTTATATAAAAAATGTACTATTAAAAAAAATGAGATTTTTATCATTATTTTATAATACATTTTTATATATTTCTATTAGAGTACAAATTTTTAAAATATTATTATATTTTTTATTGAAGTAACTTTTGATCTAGATGGTCATAACTGTCTCTAATTTTTTTGTATTACTTTTAAATGCAATTTAGACTAATCTGTAATTTTTTCAAGTAATTCTTAACATTGCCTTACAATCTCCTTAAATAATCGTATTCAATTAATTCATTGTAATTATAAAATACGCACCATTATATCACATAAATCGTAAATATGCAAAAATTTTAATTTCAAAAATTAATTGAAAAATATATGCAATATCAACAAATTATTAAAAATGTAATTTTAATACGTTGAGAAATTACATATTAATGATAAATCAATTTGTGTTTTTAGAATGACGAAGGAACGCCACTGATGTGTGCCAGTGAATCGCAGAGTGCTTCGGAAAGATGGGAAATCCAGGGATTACTAAGTCATCGTAGAGAATGCTTGGGGAGTCATCCAGCAATTTACTCAAGTTTGGAACCAGCGCTCCCATGGTTGCGCGAAACAGTGCCAGCTTTGCAGACACAGAGCTAAATCATTCATAACAATTTATCGAAGATAAAGAAGCCGATACTTCATGTTCGAAGAGAATCACATAGTTTTAATAAGAAAAAGATCGTGATTCTATATATATAAAACTACGACAGAAGAAAAATTCGAATAGATCTCCCTAATTTTCTTTGTGCTTAAAAAAGTCCATATCCATTTACATTCGTCTTCTCTTTTTTCAATTTTAATGTTCCTATTGATAGCACGAAAGATATTTTAATAATTCTCGAATATCGCAATAGCGATGAGTTATTATGAGAAAAACTTAAGTGCCTTTATTGTTACACGACAGATTGCAGAGAGAGTGAAAAACTCTAAAGAATTATGACATTCGTAATGTACGAGAATTATGAAAATCTTACTTGTAATGAAAATCAAAGACAAAATTATACCGAATTATACTTATAATTAAGGAATCATTATGTAAATATTGTATAAAGTAATTGTTTATTATGGATAATGTGGTATAAGAATTTATTAGTTAACGGATCTCTTAAAGACACTTTCTACATTCTTGTATTCAAAATTACTACTTATTACTATTTACACAAAATTATTGCTCCACTTGAATTAAAAAATAATTTTTGTAATATATTTTGGATATTTCCAGTACACTTTATATACAATTGATAAGATATATCTATTTAATTTAATATGAGAGATTTAATATGAGACCAATACATATGCATGTCCAATTACATACGAATCAATAGTTTGTCTCAGAGATCCTAAATAAATAAGGATTTCTGAAATGAACAATAGATACAATTAAACAATAGATAGGATAAATGTATATAATATATAACTATTTTTTAATAAAATGCATTGTTATAGAGATTAAACAACAAAGTATGTTTACACATATACGTAGTCATTGATGAATGCGTATTTTTATATATTTCGAGTAAAAACGGTAAATAAATGTATTTTAAACAATTCTGATATTTTCTTTCATCACTGACAATCGCTTTTAAAATCCTTCTCTATAATAAATAAATTAAAAGATAAATGATAAAAATGATTTTGCATTATAAAAAAATCAAAGCAACAATATTAACTTGTATTAATTAAAACATAATATAAATTAATCGATATTTAAATAAACCAAACAATTATCTCATTAATCATCTGTCTGTTTCTTCGACTTAGCTGCTACTTCTGCAGCTGTAACTGCATTATCTAAAATAATTAATGATTCTGATATACTATTTATAACTGCATTATATTTAGACAGCAGATCATGTACATGAGCATCCAACTCTTTGGAATCTTCGTAAGCTTCGAGATACAATAGTGATAGTTTGTTGAGTGTATTATTTAATTCAGGCGCATCTTTGATACGTTCTGATTCCAACATAGGCATGAGTTCCTGTACTTTGTTTAACAGCTTGTAGTTCTCTACAATCTCTGGCTCCATTGTCAACAACAGCTGTGCTTTAGCACTGGTGGGTATATCAACATCTTCACAAGTAGGCTCCAAGTAGCCATTTAACTCTGGCAAACGTTTGATAAGCGCGTTTGGTTTTTCTCTGCCTGATAATGCTGAGCTGATTAATGAATTGACGTCTGTGAGTCGATCGATAATAACGTTTGATGGTGCAGGATCATCGATATTCATCATCTTACCAAGCCCATATACTTGTTTCTCTAAATTAGCAATTCTCTCTTCTAGCAACTTGACAGACGACATCTCGAGAGCTGAAATACAAAAGCATGAACCCTTATACAAATTGCCATTAAAGATTAATCTATAATTAGAGTTCTTTGCTTCCTGTTTCTTACTTTTTATCACTTCTTAATCTAATCTATGTATACAACGTACTCTTTGCTTTATTTTTACCTTTTACTTCTTGCTTTTTTTCCTTTTACACTTTAATTTGATTTCTTGTTACATATCTCTTCAAAAATTCATCAACTTTATGTTTATTTCATGTAATAGAAAATGAAAAAATAGGATACTAAATAAAAAAAACAAGAAATAAAAGGTGATAAAAAAACAAAAGAAAGATTAATTATAGATTGTAGATTAGACTGTTATACCTTGCCTTTTATTCTATTTTTTTTTTGTTTTTTGTTGCTTGAGATAAAAGTTGACGAACTTTGGAAGAGATAAGAAACATATGATAACCTGAATAAAATAATCACAAAGAAGGAAAAAAAGCAAGAAACAGAAAGTAAAAAGCATATTATAGATTAGATGCTTCAAAATACAAATAGACAGATGAGTCAGTAGATATATGTATGAGTCAATTATTCTGATCTTTATTACCCTTAAAAATTATTTCTGTTATTTATGCAATTAATTAAATAGCACTCCTTGTTAATCAATTAAATTTCTTTAAAAAAAACTAAATTTCATTAATGTGATTGTTCACTGATAGCATACATTTACAGTTTCAGAGTAAAATCTTCCTCGGAGAGGACGAATTTTGGAATGTAACCTTAGCTATATTTTCAATAAACAATCAAACAGCAGAGAACACAAAAAGTTTAACTTACAGAAAATTCCCGTAAATTATACAATATTTTCTGATAACTGAATCACTTACTTGTCGGAAAAAATCCAAGTAAACAAAGCCAGAGTAAATTTGACAGAAGTCAACAAAAGGTTAGAGGTTATTCTTATGCGTGGGTGGGGAAATTACTAAACTACAGGGAAAAATATTGGAAAAGATATTGATAAGTCACTAGTCGAAGAAACAGGGCTTTCTAGTGATATCGCCGTTGCTTTCCTAACTTTCTCTCTGTTCCGGCTGCTCCGGGAGTTGACTATCTATTTTCTCAGGTGATCCGTGCCGCCACGCTAGCCAATCGCGCTCGAAGAAACCGTTACGAGTTTCCGTTGTGTATGCGTGTTTGAACGATCTAGTACACATTTGTCATCTGCGTGCCGTGAACTACTCCCGTGTGCGGTGTTACCCGTGTTTTCGCGATCCTCGGTAAGTTGTACACGGAATTCAAGGCGGACTGCGCCCTTGCGAGGTATGCGATCGAAGGAGACGTTTTAACGAGCAGGCAACGACGATGGCAGGTCGCACGAGGTCACCCAAGCGGCGGTTGCGTGCATCGAAATCGCGAGAATAAAGAATGCCGAATATGTCGACCGCGACAATTTCGTAGCAAAAAAACCGAATGGAATGCCGTCCGTCTTGGGATCTCCTAAAGTTCGATCGTTGATCGTATTATTCCGCCCGTTGACTTTATTTATATTGAATAACGCGCCGAATTGCAATACAATCGTGATTTTAACATTCTTCTATTTTCTAGGGTCTGATAATCATGATAACCTGCTCCTACGTTAATTTCTACATCAGTGTAGATTAACTTTAATCTCGGTTTAACTTACTTTTTATCTTTTAGTCTTAAGAAACAGGAAAAGATTTAAAAAATTAATGAAACCGAGATTAAAGTTAATCTACATTGTAAAAATGAACATCCAGACTTAAGGCTGATTACGGCTCGTTGCTATGCTAGCATCTTGTTATTGCATCATTTGACATTGTTAAAATATACTAATACTTCAACGTCTAATCTATTGTTCTATGCCTTCCAGTTATAGCAAATTGAGTAACATGGCTGTTAACGTGTACGCTACAAACATGACATCGGACAATCTTAGTCGCCACGACATGCTGGCGTGGGTGAACGACTGTCTGCAATCTTCGTTTACCAAGATTGAAGAGCTCTGCACTGGAGCAGTCTATTGTCAGTTCATGGACATGCTTTTCCCAGGCAGTGTACCTTTGAAAAGGGTGAAGTTCAAGACCAATCTGGAGCATGAGTATATACAGAATTTCAAAATTCTCCAAGGTGGCTTCAAAAAGATGAATGTGGATAAGGTAAGAAATTTCTGCTTTCTCTTTCCACTAGCTCTGACAAAATTTAAAAATAGTAAAGAGGTCTGTTCGCGTTGCTTGATCTTTGTGTACTTAGTGTCTTTGCTTTTTCTTTCTTCAACACCTTTTAACATATATTTATTTCATTTTGAATACAAAAATTTTGGGGGATTTTTTAAGCAACGCAAACAGACCTAATATGTGACAAGAGACTTATCCATAAAATGATTAAAATCCATAAAGATGATTTTAGACAAATGTATAAAAGGTAAGCCGTTGTGATACGCGCGATATAAAACTGCGATATTACTTCAAGATCGCATTGCCCCGCATGTAATAGCATAACTTTGTGCGAGGCTGGATGAAATCATAATGATACGACCATGGAAATGGTTCAGGTAATACCAGTGGACAAGCTGATAAAAGGGCGCTTTCAAGATAACTTTGAGTTTCTACAGTGGTTCAAAAAATTTTTTGACGCAAATTACGACGGACGTGAATATGACGCTTACGATGCGCGCGGCTGCATACCGCTAGGTTCTGGCGTGGACGGAACGCACACTTTATCGAATCCCCAGTTGGTACCTTTGCCACCACAATCAAAACAGCCGCAAATGCAACAAAGACATATACAGCAACGTAACATCGTCCCGCGGCAGCAACAGGGTATTGTTGCAGTCTCGATTTTACATGGCCGCTTCTTGCATGTGTTGTATGTTTAGATAACGATATTTTTGCAAGAGCGATACTACACGTGTACAGGCACATGCACATGCAATTTATAGTGCAATATTATATCTCAATTTATTTGAGCCACATTATTTCAAGTTTGTGTGCATAAACATGTTACAAGCTGTTTTTACAATGTTACATGCAAACACGCACACTTCACGTTACATGCACTCTTTAGTTTTACATGTCATTCAGATTTGAAAATCTAATGCAGAAATCTATAGAAGATGTATAGAAATATTTTAATTTATATGTAAATT